AAAAAATGTCTGTCATTAGCACAGCTGCCTCTGATTTTCCTCAATTACATCTCCACTTCCGACTACGCAGGTACCTGAGCCGTGTGTTTGGCATGCATCCGAAGGAAACCGCCAGACAGTTGAGCCTGGCCGTGAAGGACGGCCTGGTGGTGGAGACCCTGACAGTTGGCTGCAAGGGCTCCAAGGCCGGCATCGAGCAAGAGGGATACTGGCTGCCTGGGGATGAGATGGTGAGCCCACTGCAATTTATCAAGTTCACAAGCAGTTGTGAATTTAATGTCTGAGTTTTGTGTTAATGGCCACAAATAGAAAGTAGTAGTTGGGTCTGCACAGCTGAGTGTTGATCTGACTGATAGCTGACACCTTTTAGCAGCTTGTAAGAGTTGGCAGATTGTACCGATCATTTTTAGTCCTGTGTTTTAGCTAGGGGGTAAATCTCTATAATCCTATAAAACCTATTAAAGCCGTTGTCTATAATGAAAATATTTGCTGGTTTTTAGTAATGAATTTACAGCACGCACACAGTACGTGTTTTACTATGTTCACAGATGATATACAGGCACTCTATTAAGCAGTAAGTGCCAAACAGCAGAGGTAGGTGGGTAGGAAGGAGTGGTATTTCAGACTAATACAAGGCTTCAATAATTATCGCTCAGCGTGCATGTGCAGAAAATACTCCATCAGCTTCTGCTGCCGTTTGCCTTGAGAAGGAAGCCATCTGCTGTGCAGTTTTATTGATAGTCTTCTTTTGAAATGTGCAATACTTGTTTTATTTCCCCAGTTAGTAGTGAGGCAGTATTCGCAGTGTAGTGATTCTTACAGTCAGTCTGTCACAGTATCTGTGCAGAGTGCCCCATTTCAATTTATCTCTGTCTGGGGAGAACCTTTGTGTATTTTTCCATCTGTATTTCAAAAGGCTGTGGTGTGCATTACTTTGCAAGTGCAAGTGGGGGAAAAAAAGTATTTTGTGGCTGTTTTAATCCTGCTGTTTTTGTTTCTTTAGGGTACAAAAACTGGCTGTATCAATGTCACACTTTACTAATCAACATTAGCATCATCAGTCATGAGTGAGCTACAGTGAAACATAATGCAGGAAAAACACAAATCTGTGATTTGATTTGATAGAAACTAAGTTTCTACTCTTTCTAAAACAACTGTAACTTCCATGTGCTCATGTAACAGTTCACACTGACTTCAGATTTAATAGAACAGGTTTATTTGTTATGATTGCAGACCAGAGAAGAGTCATGGAAACTTAGAAAGCTTGATAGATCTGGCTCTTTATATGTTGTGGGTCATCACAGAGTACTTTTGTGAGTGGAGAAAGGCATGGGTCTCTAAGGGGCATGACACTGAGGCTCCAGTGGAGCCCAGGTTATTTTAGCAGAAGGACTTTTAAACACTACTCTCTGAATCACTTGCAATCACAGGATCCAAAAGCCGAGGGAAGCAAGGTAAGGGCTGCATCGTTATTTTCAAATCCAGGGTTTGTTCTCCATTTGCTCCCCTCATTTTCCCCTCCTCTCAACTAACATCATTCTGTGAGAAATCAGTTCTGCCACATGCAGTGCAGTCGGGGATTTGAGTGAATCTTTTTAAGCAGGCTAAACAGCGTACAGCATGGTCTGGTTGGTGCAAAAGCTAGAAGCCGTTTAAAATGAGGTTGAAAGCAAGAGATCGAGTCTTTGTGCAGTGCTTTCGACTGAGTCCACTTGCTGCACTGTAAATGAATTTATGCATCCGGTTTCCATTTGAAAATCATTCTGCTCGCTGGCCTAGAGTTCAGCAGTAATCGCACTGCCAGACATTACATGCTGTCATTCAGTTATGCTGTGAAAAGCTTCATGAAAGTCCGTTGCAGCGCTGTGTCTGCGTGGCCAAATTTCTTGCGGAAGTGATCAGTGATCTTTATGAAATATGTGCTTGCTACTTATCTACAGGTGTGTTTTTGCTTGATTTTGATAACACAAAGTCTCCTGGTGTTTAAAAAAAACAAACAAACAGCCAAACATACTCAAATATCAAGTTATGGCTTGAAAAGCAATTGGTGTTTGCTTAAACTTAATCAGATTCTCATGCGAGATGACAAGCAATGCTAGCATAGCCGCAGGTTGGTAGCAAGCATTTGTGAGTTTGTAGTATTTTGGTCTTGGTAGTTGTAGTTCTTCTAAGAACAGTGTGCTCTGCTGTGGTCTCAACTTCTGTCTGGCATGCTTTTCTTTTTTTTCCCTTCATTTTCAATTGATGAAACGGTGGAAGTGGGGGTGGGAGGGGAGCTGGGTGATTATGGTGTGTGTGGTTGTGCTCTTTAGTTTCTTCCGTGCCTGCTGCTAATAACACGGCCGACTGGTTCTTTCAGGTTAGTAATCACTCAGCGGACAGACCAGAGTTTGAATGTGAGCAGCACTCTGAAGCAGGGCCTAGATGGA